ATAATATTGTACACAAAATTATAATGAGTTTAAAAAGAGAACGTCGTGTTTTTGCTAATTAAAATATCAATTAGGATGCTGCTCAAACTCTGTACTGCCTCCTGATTGGTTAAATTAGCCTAAAATTGTTGCAATCGGGTCGTAAATCTTTACAAAAAAATTGTTTAAAATAAATGTGCGGTACTTGGCCACTTCTATTCTATCTCTTTGGCTTTTTGTTCTGTAGCATTTGTTTGGATTTCGTCTAAATATATGAATATAATATAAGAAAATATAAGACTGCATGGTGGAAGGTGATTTGTTAATAAAATATACATTAAATATTAGTTCTTTTTCATTATTTTATTTACTCGAAAAAAAGGTATTGTATGCAATCATTACATAATTAGGTCTCAAAATCTCGTATCTCTTACGGCACTCTAATACGGCACTCGACTTTATGAACCCTCATTATGCAACGATTGCTTAAAATACTATTGTATCAATAATATAAACAAAACACTTTCTCAAAAAAAGGATTTCTTCTTCTTGTGAATTCTCATCTATATTCTCAATCTAAGATGTTTGAAATAAATATTGTATATGATAATGAATTCAAATGTGTATTTACAAAGAGCAACCCCCGGAGTTTCCTGCTTATCTATTCTTCTCAAGGGAATCTGCCTTACGAATGAGCGGTAGAGTTTAAAGAATATGACGATTTCAAGTTACACTTAACTTGCTTAGGAAATAAATATGATTTTGAATTTGTTTAAGTTTGCTTGCAAACAAAAATGTATCCTGGGAATGGAAATTCTTCTTCTTGCCGTAACCGTCTAATCGTTTTCCAATCTCTTAATGAGATAAGCTAATACATAGGCATTGTACAAGTAATTATTGTTTCGTCAACTAAGTACTTAATTATCGGATTTATGGATGGAAGGATTGCTTTAATAGATTTTTTCGGCACGACCCAACCGAATCTAGTTCTCATCCTATGCAATTAATACTCGGATGATGGCATTATTCGTGACTCGGAATTGATCAAACTTTAATAGATTCCATCGCGCTTGTTAAGATATTTAAGATATCCGATGCTAACACGTCATAAACTAATTAATTTTGTATTATGATAAATTTGCAGAATTATGCCTAATGTTTAATATTTATGAGAGCTCGTCTAACACGATTTCTATATTTATGTTATGACTTTTCGTTTGACGTCATAGGTTATTAAAATGCTGCTTTTTGTATGCTTGAGAATGTGTAAAGGATACATTCTTTAGTTTAAAATAGCATTGTGTTGTCTTACTTACTTTTTTATTTTAATTAAGAACGCAACAAAATACTTTTGTGTGTTACGTCTACAAAAAAAAATTGTGTAACTCTGGAATGTGTGACGTATTGGTGCACTGTGAATATTTTGAATTTAGAAACAGCAGATGGGATTTTTGTTTTTTATTTTTATTTTTCTATATTCTTAATTTACTTGCAATTTAAATAGCAAGAATTTCGTTAATATTACAAATGACTCACGTTAGCGTAATTATTAATATTATTTTTTGTTTGTATTCTTCTTTATTGATTTTTTATTCGTTTAGTTTGTTACTTTTAATTTATTTACCGCGATGGTGAACCAAAAATGGTTTCGTTACACAGTTAGCAGCCTTTTTTTTTTGACGGGGGGAAATGTTTATGGATACCCCTGAGCCCAGGGAGACTCGGGAGGTATGTGGGGACTCTCCCTCCACACTGGAAGGCCTACCCCACTAAAACCCCCCCGGGTTTCCCTCGCCGGTTGAGTCGGCGCCGTGGGATCAGTGAACATTCACCACGACGCCGCCCGGCCGCCCTAGCTTGCGCCAGGGCTCCCGCGCCAACGGAGGGACGAGTCGGTTGTCCTCCGACCCGCCCCCCAGACGAGTGAGGCCGTGCAATGCAGGCTCCGGAGTCCCTATCCAGAGCCCGCTGGTCTCACTAGGGGATCAGGCGAGCAGCGAACTGCCTTCGCCTTCTCCCCGTACGTCTGCCGGAGCGGGTGCGCGTCCGCGGCGTCCTCGCGCACCCGCTTCGCGGCCTCCTTTTGCGACATAACCTCTGTGCAAAAGGAGGCCACCGCCTCCCAGGACTCCTCGCTATCGAGCATGGCGGCAACCACGCTCGGCAGCGAGAGGTCCTGCCCTATAGTCCCCGTCAGAGTGCGGCGCTGCTCATCCCACCGGCTACACACCTCTAGACACCGTTAGCAGCCTAAGTTTAAGTTCTTCTTTTTGTACCTGTTTCTTAATATAATATTTCCACTGATGATACAAGCGGGAATACAAACGAAGTTTGATTCTGGACATTACTTGTTCCTTTTTTTAAATAAACAAATACTAGACAATATCACATACTGCTCTGATCCCAAAATAAGTAACTAAAGCACCTGAGTTATGGAAATTGGAAACAACACACCGGTACCACAAACACCCAGACTCGAGACAATATAGAAAAGTTTTCTACATTGACCCAGTCGGGGATCGAACCCGGGACCTCAGAAATGGCGAACCTTAAAAAAGCTGGTGTGCAAGCCTCTCGAACACGGAGGTCGTCTATTAATGATGTCTCGGTGATCACAGTGGACATATGCATGTTTTAACAGGTACTGGATTAAATTTTTCTGAGCAGTGGAGGTTTTAATAGTAGGGGTGCACAAATACAAATCTTCTTTATTGCACACAGGGACAAATACACAATACAAAAAAAGACAGTTACTAAGGTGGCCCTATTGCTATATAGCAATCTCTTCCAGGCAACCCTCGGGTTACTGGAAAAACTATAAGATAGTATTGAATTGATGGCGCAACAGAATACGTAATTGATACACATATTGCACATACACAAATGAAAAAAGAATAATAATAAAAATAGTCTAAAACAGATATCCAAAATAATAGTAATAAAAAATAAAAAAAATATATGAAACATAATAATAATAACAACACAAAAGTTTTAAAACTGGTAAGAATAGGAGAGAAAAAAAGAAAAAACACGTACACGAAAGAAACCTCCTCGCTATGACGTATAAATCGTATTCCTAGTACGCTCGCACCCTGGGCAATAATCCTTATTGCAAACCTTGATCAATTCTTTCACCACGATGGCAAATTATCCCATGGATAGTTCAGCATGGCGGCAACTTCTGATGTGATCAACGTGGCTATAGTTCTGGGTCGCGATAATATAGTGTATGCCATCTATGGAAGAATAATAATAAGGCGACGCAATACCCTTTGATTACGGAATTACTCATCTCTCTGTAGATGCAACAAAATGGTAAATTTCCATAAGTGATCTGTAATATCAAGTCTTTGTCCATAATTAAAAGCTATATTAATCATTCATCATCATCAATTTGTTTATGTGTTCCCTAGTGCTGAACTATGTTGAGTGTATGCGTTATTATTATTATTATAATTTATTTATTTATTTATTTAAATTCACCAACGCCTAATACATTCGGTTACAACAATATTTTACACACATTCGATAGGGTGTTACAGTTAAAATGCTTAACCAATTACAGGTGAACATGCCATGATAAGAGTATGAAAGTTAAGACAATTATTATTAATTTACTGTTCTTTTTTTTACTGTACTTATATTACATATGTTTACTATATTAACAAATTAAATTATAAAATAAATAAATATAATATACATTACAAATAATATTCACTTATATACCAAAAACTGCAATATTGACTTCCTGAAGCGAGGCAATGAGACTGCGAAGATATCCATTTCAAGAGGTAGAGCATTGACGAACCTGGCAAATCGAGCAAACGGAGAATTTGAACCGAGGATACTTTTGCGCAATGGGGGGGTGAAAAAGATTTACGTGATACCTTGGTAGACGAGAGGGTATTTTAAACTGTATTTTAGAGAGAAGTTGCGGACTATTAATTTTATTATTAATTAGTTTATATAATACTTTCGGTTCGGTTGTTCTCTAGCCCAACGCGAGTTGGTGATATGGCATCTCACGTTGTCGAAATGCCAAGCAACCATTCTTCCCATTTGACTACCATCGTTTCAATTAATTATTATCCTACTAATATTGTTTATACTAACGAGGTAATTGTAGAGATATCAAGCGCAAGGTTCATTGTAAGTAACTCTATCGGATGCGCTTGCGCTGCGGCCGCACCACCGCATTGCTTCTGACCACAATGGATTTATGACGCCTCCGACGACGACGAAATTTGATACCACATCAGTCATAGGTATCATCATCTATCTAGCTATCATAAAACTAAACAACAGTTTTTTACGTAATCGTAACATTTTTTCAGTTGTGAATTAACAGAAAATATACCTAATTCCGGACACAATTCGAATAACTTTGCGTTTTTGTTCTTATAGAGTTAGAACACAAAAATGTTGTTATAATCGAAGGAAAAGTTTTCCCCGGTTTTCCATATTAAAATTTTCAAAAAGTATTTTATGCATCTGTCATTTAATGTTCCAGTTTTAAAAATGCTTTATTCGTTTTTGGCCAATCATTAATACTGAAAATGAAGGTGGCTCGAATTGTGTCTGAGTGTACTTAAGTACCTTACCTTACCTAAGTATTTTACGTAATTTTTTGGTACCTCTCTGGTTCAGCGATCCAAAGAAGAACTTTTCTAAAAACACTAAAATTTTTACAATAAGATTCTGGAGCGTATATTAAGATTACCATTTCCTAAGTTTAAAACTGACATTAAAAGTATTTTAATTGAAAAAGTCATATTACACAATTGTAGACTACGTGTTATATAAAAATATATGGTAAGACAACGAGAGTTTAGATTCCACACAAACATGATTCAAAATGCATTTAAGTTTATTTGTAAAAAGCTATTCCTAGAGTTACTTGCTGGTTCTTCTCAAGGAAGTCGGCACAGTGAACGAGCAGTAGCTTAAAAAATAACGTTTTCAAGTATTAAAATTTTAGCCTTTACAAACCAAAATAATACAATCTTTTTAATGTATTCCAGGTCAGCGCGACAAGCCGTTCGTGTCCGATGAGGAAATGCGCTTACGCACTCCTCGTCCTGATATTCTCTCGGTGCCGCCCAACAGAAACTTCTTCGACGGGCTCAAGGAGGCTGAATCTAAGGTAGCCGTAATGTAGTTCCATTCATGTTGCAATATACAACACAATAAAAAAAAAACAGCTTTATGCCAAAGATAAATTATAATTCTACGGTGCATTCGTTGTCTTGTAAAATGGTAGTTTGATTATTGTTGAGATTTACTTGCTTGATCACTATTAATGATATATTTGATAGATTGATGATTTGAATAAGTGCACTACGCGACGTAATTTATAGTTCAAGAGTGGACCAATACCCCAAGAGAATTGCTAATCTCCATACTACAGAACGTAACTATAACAAAGGTCAAAATTCCGTTTTAATATCTAGAAGGCGCTGATCAATAACCTGAAAGCTGTTTATATTATGTAAATGGCCGTGGATATCAGTTACTTTTGCTTTAATATGGAATATGCCATGCCCATGAGCTCTCAACCGCACAGGAAAAATGTATTTGGATTCTTGTAAATATAAAGCAAGTAGAAAGCTGTAAACTGTACTTCCAAAAATTTAATATACTTACATTGCCAGGTATGTACATATTGGAAGTGTGCAAATTCATAAAAAATAACCCTAATTTTTATAATAAAGTCGGAGACGTCACCCGACATCACATTTCGCGAAATAAAAAACTTAATACAAGCGATGTCTAAATTGAAGATAAATAGTTCCGGACCTCATTCTATGTCAATAAAAAATTATAACAAACTCCCAGAATCTTTAAAATCAGAATCAAACATAAACAAATTCACAGATGTATTGAAAAATTATTAACTTCTAAAAGTTATTACGTCGTGGACGAGCATCTCCAAGATAAATAATAATGAATGTCTGCCCCTCTCCCTTTCCATGTTGCGGTGCCTGTGTTTGTTAATGTATAAGTACATATATTCATAAGCATATTTTTGTAACGACAACACATGTAAAGCACTTATAAATAACCTCAATACAGAGTAGTAAAAAAATCGACCTCAAAAGTCATTCATCCCCTAGTTTACCACCCTTAGAGGTCGAATATTTTCTTCAAATTTAAATGGGACCACTTCTGAGGTACCCTCTTTCCAACAAAAAAAGAATCATAAAAATCGGTTCACAAATGAAAAAAACATACAGTCGAACTATATGAGAACGAACGAATAAGAACCTCCTCCTTCTTTTGAAGTCGGTTGATAAATGAATAGATATAAGTAGGCAGTCACTTTTGAAGACAATCACAAATTACACTTAAGCTCACGAGTGAAATAAATGTAGGCCGAACAAATATTTCTCCCGGCGCGTGTTTCGAACTTGGGATCTCTGTGTGGCAGTCCGGCATGATAATCGTTTGGCCACGGAGGCAGTTAAGCTGATTTATTTCTTATCACTAGAAATTAGAGTAACTAGTGGATAAATTTGCAGCTTGTCAATGTAAAATAAATTAGTTACAAAAATAGCTATTTGGTACTCGTCGCGACATCTGTAGTACTAGTAGGAACCAAATACCCGACTACGCCATCTTGTATCGTGATTAGCAGTCCTCTTCAGTTTTGGTCCATGATTCCAACAACTACGTTAGATGAACACATACTTTTCTAAGCAACTAAACGCCTAAATTAATTTATAAATATATTACATTCATTCAAAACAGCCTCTACCTTCGTTTTTCAGTTCCCAATTCACCCAGGAAACAGTATAGTTGGCATACCCGACTCTATCTCCAGCGCTAATAACAACGGCCTCGACAGTGACAAGCAGAACTACCGCCCGCCTACCTCCTGGTCTACGGGTAAAGGCCGCCCCAACACCAATCACGATAACGAGCCTCACGAAGACACTCTCACGGGAGCTGCGTCTCAAAGTCCTGGACCGACAATACAGTCTACGCCTAATGATAATCAGTTTGCGCAAACAACTGCTCGTTCCATCCAACATTTCCCAACCAGATCATCACGCGTAACGCCGCCTTCGCAAGAGTTTCTGCCACCTTTTCCTCCAACAACAGAAGCTAATTCAGAGGATGTTGCAATCGATGCCAGAATAAAAAACGACGATCCTGTAATAAATTTCATAAATCGCTTCGACCCGAACTCCCCTGATTCTATCAAAACTTCCATGACGAGGTCTGAAATTTTAAGCATCAATCAGCAATTGCCACCAGGGCAATCCAGTGCAGAAGATGAGAGAACTCCTAGGATACAGAAAAACGTTGGCAACGATTTTAACACACTCCAGGACAACGCTAAGGGCTTTGTTAAAAACTCGAGATTTGATACTGTAAATTTAAAGCCTGCTCCCACTGAAACAACGATTTTTGATTCCAAGTCGAGCGTCAACCAGGTGCCAACACCTGTGAATGAGTTATTGCCACCCAAAAATGAGTTTTCCAAACAACCTCTAGCAGCAACTACTGAAGGTCCTGCCGTTTACTATGAGTGGAAATGGGCAGGGGCAGGGCCTGCCCAAGATTTGGAGCCACCAAAAGCAAGCAACGAGACTTCTTCATCTTCTGGGCAAGAGAAGAGAAACATTTCAGGGCTGAGTCCTTTCAGTAAAGTGACTCGACCACCTCCGGTGGAAATTGATGCTATACCTCCAACAAAGAATACTGAGTACAACATCAGCTCTTACTTCGTTCCGGATTATATCTTTCCTCTTGACAAGCCTCATCCAGGTTACGACGATGAGAATGCCGAGACCTCATTTCAGGTGAAGGTTGCGAGGCCAGGTCGAGCCAGCTACGGCGAGAACCCGGCTTGTCCCCATTGCCATCCCGCTTACCTCAATCCAGGCACATGTGAACCTTGCATAGTTAAGCGGTAACGAATTGTAAGACGCAAAATATACTCAGTGAGTTTTAGTCTGTAAAAAGCCATAGATTTTTAACAAAACACATTCCTTACTCATTTTTCTAAACTTCAATGTTTTTTTTATATTAAATGGGAAACACTAAGTACCTACAAACAAGTATAAAATTGTTGCAACAAAGATTGAACAAACACAAGGAAAAATTCGGCTGCAGCTACAAATGAAAAACACCTAAATATTGCCATTAATAAAGCGACATCTCTTGTAAGCTGCTGGTAGCTGCAAAGGTACCTGGCTGAAGAATAAACTTTCATAGGTTTCTCACGGATAGCGCTATGGCAAAAAGCCGTTAAAACTAAAAACAAAAATCCTGTAACGTGCACAAAGAAGAACTCGTTCTGTAGCTCAGTTGTGAGGGCAATGGCGATAGTTTCGGACGGAGAACGGGAATAGACTCCCAGAGCCATCGTCCAGCAGGATCGAAGTGGAATTTTTTCATGTGTGTGGGGAATATTTACACAAAAAGTAATAAATTGTTGTATCCACTTAAACTTCTGAATGTTAAATCTGAATTGGTACTTATTTAGGATTCGATAATTTTCACCATAATAAATATGTTGTTAATATAATAAGTGTGTACTTCTGTGTTACTTGCCAATATTGTAACGAACTGCTGTTAGTCCAAATAAGCCAATGTTATTGTAAGTATAGTTTATCCATTAGAAATTAGTAAACGTTAAATGAATAGAAGAGAACAGTACAACGCCTAGCCTCGATCTAGGGGAATATTTATATTTTTTTGTATGCGTTTTTTATACTGATGTGCCTATAACGTAGCTAAGCTAAATAAAGAAAACTACAACTATAGATAAATTCGTGTTTTTTTTACATAACAATAAATTTATCTCAATAATTTTCAAATGGGGATTCCAAAAATACTGAGGTATTAAAAAAACATTAGATAAATATGATATAAATTTTACTGGTTTTTTTTTTGTATGTGTGTTACGGGATTGTTCAGACATTTGTGAACCGATTTCGATGATTCTTTTTTATAAGAAATGAGGTAACTCTGTGATCCCATTCAAATTTGAAGAAAATATTCCACCTCTATTCGTCATAGATTTCAAGCTGTCTTTGGGTCAGAAAAAAAATACGATTAGGTATATACATCACGGTCAGAGTGACGAAAGCATAAACCCAGTTTCCCAAGTCCTCGCGCTTGCATTTGAGAAGCCAGTATTCAATCGTAATGGTATCCAAATCGTGATATGTAAATATTGCGGTTTAAGAGCACCCAGTATACTTAGTAAAAATTGCTTCAATATGAATTTCAGGTACACGCGAGTCGCTTGCTAATATGACTATTGTATGACAAGGGCCACATGTATTGTAATGTAACATTGCGACTAATTTCGAGAACCCAAGTAAACTAAATGTACCACTGAAACGTACAGCATAATTTATTTAGGTCTCTAGCGAACGTGTGAAATATTTATTAGGTTAAATTGCACAGCGCCCCTAACGGTTACAAGAAGAACTAATTTGCGTTGCATACATCCAGTTGTATTAAGAGGGAGCATGCCAAAAAAGTTTTGACGTTGGCTCCGCCCAAATTTGTGAAACAAATATATGCCTGAAGTTCGCGTGACATGCAACAGGAGATGTTGAATTTTGCACATTAAAAGTACCAAATTCGTTTTAGCGGAATAACTCTAAAACTAAAGGGATTAAAAAAAATCCGTAGTGACAGTTGTCGATCATGCATAAATATAATTAATTATCTAATTTTTGTCCTAATAACCTGTAGTATTTCGAGGATGAATCGAAAAAATGTGAAAATTAGAGGTCATTTCGTGATTTTTATCTATCGAGGAAACTTTATTGTTTTATGTTTCTGATTAGTGTCTATGCTTGAATATATCGTGTAGTTACTCATACAATATTTTATTTTTAACTTTAAAGTGGATATACCCCTCTAAAATCAAATCGCAGATTAGGAAATTTTCCTCTGCTCCCTCTTAATAATATCATTGTATTGCTTATCTCATCGAGTATATAACCAGAAACAGAGACGAAATGTCATTTAATTTGTTTGAAAACTATTTTGCCATATCATTACTGTGACAATTGCGCTGAGATAGGCTAGCCCGAATTCGAAACAATTGACGGGTGTCGTCTACTGTTTCACTTCAATTCGACCAGTTAACATGAGCTTTGCTATATATAACGGACGAAAATTGCAAAATTACATATTTAATATTTAATTACCGATGAAAAGTAATTCTGTTTGTTTTGTAATTAGATGTTTTGCTGTTTTTCCCACACTACCGAATAGAACAGCACGGCATTGTTAGAGATATTATCTTTATTACAATAAATACAGAATATTTTTTGGAATATACGGAGACGTACACACAGGTCAGTAGTTGGCCTGTCTATATTTTAGTGCAAACGAGAGTTGATATTTATAAGAGCTGTATCGCTAATGTGTAGCCAGGAATATATGGGCCTTATTTCGTCTCTATTTCTGGTTATATACTCGATGGCTTATCTACACAAATATCATAAACTCTGTATAATGTGTTCAAAAACCACAAATTACGTCCAGCATAAAGGTAAACTGTTTTGTTAGAACCAATTTCTTATCTGTGAAATAGTTATTTTTGATACAAGTGCGGCAGTTAGTCACTATAGTTTTTCACGAGTTTCGAGGCTTCGAGGTCAAGACTCGAGACAAGTGAAAATGACAAATCCGCACGTGTATCAAACGACGTTTTTTAATACATTTGCGAAAAAACTACATTGAAAGTAAAATAAAAGAGTATGTTTTAGTGGCGCGGCGCGCAACGGTCTCGCGTAGTACTCACCTCCAGTCATTGTTAATCATTGACTTACAAATAAATGGACGACGGGTCTAATACAAAAACCACGAAAAAAATGTCCCAAGTCAACCTATTCCAAATTTAAATTGTAATGTCATCGCAGTATCGCGCTGTCAGTCGAACAAATGAAGACTAAAGCGGAGTTTGGCGCTCTGTATACGATTTTAGCGCCTTACAAGTGCGGACACTTTTTAGCGCGGACCCGACGTCCATATAATTGTAAGTTAATGTTGTTAATACATAATCAGCCATCTCCATGGAAAATATTTTGATATTTTTAAATGTAACCCGTTGTTTTGTAAAACACCTATGCAATATAAACAAATAAGATGTTTGTAAGTAAATATAATATGGTTTATTGACGAATGACTTACGTCACAAAGCACATAAATATTAAATAAATATACAACCTCTTTAGTTCTATGTCTAAGACTTGAAACAACAGTAAATAAAAAAAAATGGAAAGTAAAAAGCACTAGTGCGAAAAATTCAACTTTCGGCACGATTTGTAGTACAAAAAATACCAAGTTTTGAGCAACTATATTAAAATAGAAGATTATAAAACGCGTCATCAACGAGGGTGGATACTCAAGTCAAGGGTAAAATAGGTTCTATGAACGAGTCTCACTTTGCTTTTCACTTCGATTGCGAGAAAATTAAACAGCAATATTAAAAATAAACGACAATTTAATTAAAATTGAATGTCAATTCTACACGTGATTCTGGTCGGACTCTCTGCAAACGTTCTATTTAATGCTCAGTTATATTTTACAAGCTATTATTTTGTATGCATTTCCATTTCTTACTTTACTCAATACGCAAGTCAGGACTAGCGTGTTGCAGTGAGCACTGAAAATTATACTCAAGTCCTTGCCATAAGAGTCGTATTTCCAGTGCTTGAAATCATATTCAATTCTGCTCAAGTCCTGACTTGAGCATTGAGTAAAGTTCTGGAATACGACCTTTAGTTAGTCTAGCATCGAACGATATGATAGTTGGGGCGATTCTAGCTTGTCTATGAATTAAAAATAAAAACTACGGTTGTGTGCCATGCGTGAGAAAAGTCGTAATATACGGTTCCTGAACACATCGCAGAGAGCTTGTAATATGCGTGTAGTTAGAGCAGTCTAAGTAACTGCTCATAATTAGGTATTAAAACACTAGTGAGATGTTTTTATGAAACTCGCCTGTCTGCTGCTCCTTTCATAAACCCACACTTTATTTATTTATTTATTTATTTATTTATTTATTTAGGACAACCAACAAGACATGAAATTAACTATAACAATGTACAAACAGTGACACAGGGACTATACTTAATTCTGCCTTAATTATAGGTCGCCACGGCATGCAAATGTGGACATAATACAATCAGAATAATAAACAAATGAAATTAAATAATTATTAAATTACAAAAAACTCCAATTAAAATACAATATTAATGAGTACAATAAAATGAATAATTAATTATAAGGAAATTATAAAAAAAAAAACATATTGTAAAAACCGAATCAAAAAGACAAAGATACAATTGCTTAAGTGTAAGATAATCAGCATCAGAGATTTAAAAAATAATGAGATATAATTAAAAAGTTTACTTTAAAAATCAAAATAACAATAGCTGCGACAATAAACAAACATATTTATATAACTACAATGACGCGGACACGAGAGAAGACTTTATTGCGCGTTTAAAGCGTGAGGTACTATATGAAAAAATGTCGATGAGACAGTCACCTTGCTTACACAAGAGGTTATATTGTCTTTGCAGTCGATTCATGGTGGCGTGGTGACCCAGATTGCTTCTACTACCCTTAACTGAAAATGGAACGAACCTATTCAAACGAGGTAGCTTCAGGGGTACGTTGATGTTCACTAATCCTAACAGGAAGGGGCAATCTACGGCTCCATTGACGATCTTGTGTAAAAACATATGATCCAAGAGCAATCTTCTGTTCCGCAAACTCATTAAGTTAAAATGAGAAAGGCGATCCTCATAAGAGGGCAGCTCCTGAACTTTGTGAGCCTTATAAGAAAGATGCCACATGAATCTTCTTTGAACACGCTCAATTTGTTTTATGTGTACTTCATATTGCGGGGTCCAGACCTGGCAGCAATATTCCAGGCTGGGCCGCACCAAAGACGAATACAACGATATCTTTGTGGAGGGATTTTTAAAATCTTTTGCATTTCTCAGCACAAATCCAAGCATCTGAAATCCCTTCGTGACGACATTGTCTATGTGCTTGTGAAAAAGTAACTTTTTGTCCAGGGTTACTCCTAAGTCGCGGATTGTGTCCACCTCCTCCAAAATATGACCGTTGATGTCATATGCCGGCGACATGGTGTTTTTGCATCTTGTGAACCGGATATACTTGCATTTGCCGATATTCAAAAGTAATTTGTTTTTATTACACCAGCGAATAAGTTGATCCAAATCATGTTGTAAGAGAAGGGTGTCATTGCTACTATTGATCGGTAAACAAAGCTTCATATCGTCCGCATAAAGGAAGCAAGTAACATGTTTGAAGACATGTACGATGTCATTGATAAAGATATTGAAAAGGACCGGACCGAGGTGAGAACCCTGAGGGACTCCGGATACGGATGAGAATGGTACAGAAGAGAAACCATCCACCACAACCCTAGACAAACGTTGACCCAGGTAAGAAGAAAACCATTCAAGAAGTTTACCGGTGATACCAAACAGAGAAAGTTTATTTAGCAAGATCCTATGATCTACGGAGTCAAAAGCTTTACTTATATCTGTATAAATGGCATCTACGGACCCACGCGCGTCAAGAGCATCGGTAACAAACGCCAAAAAGGATACCAGGCTTGACGTTGTAGAACGAGATGAAAGGAAGCCAGACTGTTGGGGTGAGATTAATTGATTAATATGCCAGGCCAAGAGACGACACAAAAGAGACTCAAATACCTTAGAGAACACTGACAATATTGATATGGGTCTATAGTTTTGCACCAAAGAACCGTCTCCTGATTTAAAAATTGGGACAATTGTTGCCTCCTTCCAAGTTGATGGGAAAACACCGGTTCTCAGAGATGCATTAAAAATGATTGTGAGAGGTAAAGAGAGTGGTTCGCAGCATTGAACCACAAATGCTGAAGGTATACCATCCGGACCGGCACCCTTCTTCCGATCCAACCGCTTTATAACTTGTTGAACTTCTTCCTGAGAAAATTGAACAATACCAAGAGGATGAGAGCTGAGAGAGGAATCGTCTGTGCATTCCTGTGAAGAGAAGGAATCTGAGCTGCTCTTATGAACAGAAGCAAAGTAGGAGGCAAATAAATTACAAATTCCATCCCCTCCTGTAGCTTCGCAACTCCCAGATCTCATAGATGTTGGGAAAGTACTAGTGTTTCGCCTTTTGTTTTTTATGTGCGTCCAGAACAATTTAGGATTTTCAGACAGTGACCTCTCTATATCGGTAATATATTTTATGTAAGTACTGTTCGTTAGATTTATACATCTTTTTTTTAGTGTACACAGAGCCAGCTCATCTAATGGGTTTTTGTATTTTGTTACTTTTTTTCTGAGTTTGTGTTTTTCATTTAGAAGGCGAATCAGTTCGTTCGTATACCAGACCGGATAATTACCTTTTGCAGGTTTGCATTTTGGTACATGCTTGGCTATAGCCACTTTCAATATTTTATAAAATTTATCCACCATTGCATCTATGGAGTCATTAGATGAAAGGGTAATCTCCCAGGGCGTTGAGTTTAAATCATTAATTATTTTGTCAAAGTCAGCTTTGTAGAAATTATATTTTTCTTTGGTAACTGTATTGGATGATGCAGATGAATTTTGACAATAGATTGCGAATTCCAATGGCGGGTGATAAGAATCGAGATTACTTAACGATAGGTCACTACGTTTCACATTCGAGATCCCTGTGTTAGAAAGAACAAGGTCTAAGACTTTGTCGTCCTTGTTCAGGATGTAATTATGTTGAGTCAGCCCATTTAACGCCAAAAATTCTATAAGAGATTTTTCATACATACTCTTGGCACCAAAAGAGGATCCAAACGACGAAGTACCGCTACTATCGTTGTTGTTCCAATCAATACCGCTGAGATTAAAGTCACCCAAAATTAAGGTTTTTTTATTCGAATCCAAAACGTTATTCGTATTATCTATAAAATGGTCAAGGATATCTTTTTGAATTGGCGACGGGAGGTAAACACTACATAGTAATAATTTTTTACCTCTACGGAAATCTAATTCCACCCATAAGTCCTCGCATTCACTTTCAAATCCAGGCACCCTGCGTGAGCACATACGTTTTGTCACGGCAATGAGTACCCCGCCACCTGATTTATTTCTGTGGAATCCAGTCGTCTCACGATCGCGTCTGTACACTACATATCGATCACTAAATAGTTCACAGTCAAAAATGGTGCTATTCAACCAAGTTTCACATAATACTATAATATCGTAATCACAGCATAGTACGTTTTTATAAAAAGCAGAGGTCTTTGTACGAAGACCTCTGACGTTTTGGAAATATACATTTAAGGTATGCATTTTTAAATCGTAACAATAGTACACAATGTTCAATATTACTATAATTGTAAAATTGTTGTAATTTTGCTTAATTAGCAAAATTATAACAATTTTTCAAGTGTTGACGAGTCACGTACAAACACGTATTCAGATGTGTCGGTTTTGCGCATATATATGCGACCGCCGCGAACCCAAACATACTTGTAGTGCAGTTCCTTAGCCCGCATCCGCGCCGCGGCGTGAAGAACTTTATTCTCCGGCGAAAGGTTTTCAGCCACGTAAATGTCCACCTTCCTTTCTGTCTGCTGACCCAGATGCCCCGCGTTTAATTTGTCCTGTGGTTGTTTTTTATTATATTTTATAGCAGCCGCCAAGAACATGTCGCGCGAACGCGGACTATTAAGTTTGATTAAAATGGAACGCGGTCTGGGACTCTTAGCATCCTTTTTGGCAATGCGTGAACAATACAAAATATCAGACTCTTTGATGGGGCACGAAATCACTTTAGCGAGCTGAGTAACCATTGTAATTACGTTTTCCGATTTGCGTTCGGGAACACATTGTATTTCCAAGTTAGATGCCCTGGAAATCTGTTCAAGTTGGTTGAATCGGCTGGTGATGGCGTTCAGGTCACGACGAAGCGCTTCATTTTCTTTTGTAATAACGGTAATTTTATTATTGCACGTGTTGACATCAGCATGAAGTTTTTCGAAGGAATCGTTCATGAAATTTATTGATTCCGTGAGCGAACCGACTTCATCCCTAAAAGCTTTTAACTGTTTGTTTATATCGCCTCGCAAATCATTGATGCATTCCCTCACGATGCCGCGAATTTCATCCCGCACTATGGCGCGCAGGTCCGAACGAGAACAGGTAAGTGCATCATCTGAGGTGACTGAAGATATACCAATGCAGCCGCCGGACGACAACTCGTTAGGCGGCTTCCGTTTCTTGTGACGCGTAGTAACATTAGCGTGACTACTGATGTCGCCGGGTGTTAAGGGCCGAACAGGCGTATTTTTGTTATCGGATCTAGGTTTTTTATTGCGACATTCAGGACAAAGCCAGTTTTCCTTGACTTCAGCAGACAGTTTTTCAAAATCACCAGGCGTTACATTGATGCACAAACTGTGATAGGAGGAATTACACTCGCAGCAATGCAAGCAATATGCATCTTCAACAGTAGATTGACAGGCGGAACATTGATCCATTTTGTTGGAAGTTTCGCAGTAATTGTCCGAATCACTCAATAACTTTAAAAGACACCTAATGTTATTTATAAAAATTATGAAAAATATCAATTATTAAATGTAAAAAAAATAATTAATTAAATTTAAATTAAAAAAATAGGATTTAAAAAATAAAAATAAAAAAAATCTCAAATTGTCTCAGGATCGAACTCGGGACCGCTGGCCAACGAGTGAAATTCCGTGCGCTTAACCAACGAGACGTTAGGAAAGACGACCAAAATGTGAGTTGTATAGCGAGCAGACAAGCTCCGCCGACGCGCTAATGAGGTCCAAAGTTCAGTTCTTTTGTTAAGCGGCCCGGCAGTTTTATAAAAATACTTGCTAATACCCACTGAATTGTCACTGTTTCACTGTTTTTCACCGCTTCCACAGCACACCCGAGTCGATAACATACACTATCGGAAAGCACTTTGTTTCAGGAATATTTTTATATATAATTTAGTTAATATAACGTATTTATAAGGATGTATTCAAATTAAAATGTGGGAGCGTAAAATATACGTATTCCACTCTAAGCTGTCAATTTCTATATTCAATTTTCTATATTCACTTGTATTTTAATGCCTTTCATTATGTACAATCACATAAACTACATAAACATCACACATTTTATGCAACCTCTAGCGACTCCAAATTATATTTATAGCTTTTTTGGTATTAGTTTTTCGGAAACGGCAAAGGCACTAGTGCACCCACAGACATAGTGCACCATACAGCCAAGTCTGAGCGTAAACTGCTATGCGTCTGCGCCAAGAAACGCTAAAAGAAAAAAAAAACAACAAAAACAAAATGGCGACAAAATTTCATTTTAGCTGTCAAAGTGAAATGTCAACGTCAAGGTGATGTGATCGCCAAATCGCCAATCGCGTCGCGTTGCCAAAGGGATTAAATCACATGAATTTTGCGAAAATCTAACGTAAATTACATATTAATATAAATTACATGCAAATTGTTCTAAATTAAAGTTGTACGTTGTCTTCTGTTAGTGTTGTTATGTATTTTGTTGTAAATTGTATACTGTAGTGTCCTTCATTGGAAGAAAACACATTTGCGTGATGAGTAAAGCCAACGCTTTAGCGGGCTTGATCGGGAATTATGGGGATTCCGATGATGAATCTGAAGATGGGGTGACGAATACACCACGAGGGGCGGTTGATACTGGTGCATACAGAGGCGCTATTGCCGAGGCGCAAGTGGCTGCTATTCATCCGGCTCCCATACCTCATTGCCGTAAGTATTGTTACCGGTTTTTCAATTGCCTAATGTTATGGCATTAAATAATATTTTGAAAGCAATATTGTGTAAAGTTCCAATGTCACTTTGTATCGTCGATAACAATATCAATCTTGATTGATTCCTTATGACGTGTAATGATAGAAATAACACAATATTGTTTTCTGAGATTTAAGGAGATAAATACGTATTCAACAATAAGAGAAATACAAAATGGGCCATCCCAAAGTGACGGGTGGGACATTTTTTTTTCTTGAACTTTATGTAATTTCTCCCTAACCATTGGTTACTTAGACTTAAAATGAAAATATGAAGTCAGATATGTAATTCAACTGCGACTATTAATTTACATAAATTTATGACATTATTTATACTCAAAACTTTTAATTTTCTAAATGTGACGGGTGGGACACTCACTACACCCGCCTGTTGAGTTAATGGCTTCATTGTCAAGATCAAAACAAACTATTAATATTTTGTTCAGCATATATTATTATATATTATATTACCTGTCACAAAATGGTGTCCCAATCGGCAGAATTTAACACATCAAATGTTAAACTCCAAAATTAAAGTATCTGTTAAGCCTAGTAAACATCGTATAAACTTGAATCCATGAAAATACAAACATTTATTTTGATTATTTTTGAGTTCAGTAGTTTTGATTACAGTGTGATAATCTATTTGCACAATACAATGACACAATATTTTGAAACAATAAATACAGTGTGCGAAGGTGGTAACTTATTTATTTACTTACTTAAATCCAAATATATATTTCCTCAGCATGGTCAGCGTGCTATGATGAGACCAGTGGGTTCACCTACTACTGGAACCAACTGACAAATGCTGTAACATGGGAGGCACCGCCAGAGTACTTGCTTGCGCTCAAATTGGCTCAGCAACAGTTGCAGTCAGCAGGTATAATAACAAAAACATTTTAATTGCTAATTAAATTTACGAGACTACAAGACAATTTTGGTAAGTATTTACTGAAGTGAGACTGGGTGGTAAAGTCTGTTCCAATTCATTATACCGGACAAGCAAACAAACCAGTTGGGTTATAATTTCAAAGCAAACACTCAATATGTTGGATAAGCAACACTTTCATGTATGTTTTGAAGATTTCGACTTAATATCTCAACACTTTTTCCAGCAATATTCATTTGAATAACATATTAAAATCTTATTTGAAAAATAGTAGTTCAAAAGTGACGTTATTTTTCAAATATAGATTTGTGAATAGTTTACGGTTACATAGGACTGTACAGAAATAACTCATTCGGTTCATTCAATTAAAGCTTTTGTAACCAATTAACGAATCGAAAATTTAATCACAATAGAACGAATGTCTAAGTGTAAGGATTTGAATGAGGATTTGATGTGGAAGAAAAAATTTCCAATCTCATGTATGAGGGATGATACCACAGTATCTAATCACATATTTTTTGATAGTAATCAGCGGTGAAAACGCATATCCCATTTTATTATATAAAACCCAATTATTCCTACTGATTCCATTAAACAAATCGATTCATTCAATTAATTTCTAGTTGGCAGTACAGTTGGCCATCACTAAACTGTCTTATGTCTGATTGGATCACCAAGCGAATAAGGAAACTTTTTATATGTTTGTAGCATGTTTCAATTTGCTTATCAATTATAACTAAAGATTCTACATAAATAATTGGACATGTATATCACAGTAGGCATAATAAAATAGATAACATAGTGTTTTTATTTATTTGGCTAATGAACTATTTGTACTGTTATCTAGTAGGATCTCACTTGTGAAAGAATTCATCCAGGGAAGTACTGCCATCTTACCTATTTCTGCCGCCAAGCAATAATGTGAGCATTACTGCGTTCCGGTTTTGAAGAGTAAGGGTGCTGGTGAAGTTACAGGCACATGGTATTTGTTAACTTATGTCTCATGGTGACTGGGACAGTGGCAGTACCCCTCAGATCTTTGTGACTTAATGCTTTGAGCGGCATTCCAAGCGTTATGGACAGGCGCGTCGCCCACCACCAGGTGCACAATTTGTTCATCCCGTTGGTTGGTGTTATAAAAAAACAATTTGGTCATTGAAGTATAATGTAACTAAATAGTCTTATATAATGGTTATAGAATAAGCAAAAGTCCAAACTCATAGTTAGCAAGACTAGATATGCAAATTCTGTTATGTCCCATATGAAACAGCTCTTCACGTCACTGCCTAATGAGCGTTATAATACTTTCGTAGTGGTCAAATGGTTATATGAAACTATGTCGGGGTGAAAATAATCTGAATTGTAGATCTTAACTCTAAACTTTACATTTGTGATGTTCGCAATAGATAAACTAATCATTTGCAGTGAAAGTGAGTAGTAGAAGGTCTGAAAAGTCATGCTAGCACCTGGATACCTGAATCAATCAACTGTCAATAATACTATCCAAAATGTGTGTTATAAGCTGAATGTCTTAACTTTCAGGGTCAGAAGTATCAGCAGAGGAATGGCAACTGTACCAACAAGCATTAGCCGAAAAACAGCTTTTGCAACAGAAATCTGTTAAGCCTGTTGTTAAGTCCGAGTCAAAACACGACAAACCCAAGGAGAGAGACCCCAAGTATGCCGCGAAGGGCAAGAAACGAATCTCATGTGTTAGTGACGATGAAGATGAGTAAGTTTCTCATTAGTTTTTCTTTTTTTTGGTATTGATTAAGGCCTGTTACACTCTGGTGTCAATTTCAGTCTTGTATTGTCAATCACTGTGAATTATTATGTCTTAGGCAATGGGGTAGTAGTCCATACAACATTCAACCCCTTTCTCTGACATAAATCGCCTAATAGGCCTTTTCGCCTAATAGGCACAATGAGACACACATTAAAAAATACTGTAAAATCATTTACAGCTTGTTTTGATAGCACTTTATATGTGAGCTTTGTAATTAGTTTTGTCTGTCTTGTACACAAGCCTAATTTTACAAGACCATCAATATGTTCTTGACTTTTTTTTTCTTTTGGCCAACATGCAATCGGTCTTATATTGATATATTTTGGCATGTCAGGCATTCTCTTCCAATGTTGGGTTGCCTTTTGTGGAAAATTATTCAGCACAGTTAGTTGAATCCCAAATGTGTTTACGCTTCAATCTTCTCGTCCGTGATGGTGCACACAATGCTAGCTAGTTTGTTAGTATGAGTGGTTATTCTTTCTTTATAGGACTTAGGGTCGTATTCCAGAACTCTACTCAATGCTCAAGTCTTTGCCATTAGGGTCGTATTTCCAGTGCTTGAAATCATACTCAAGTCCTAACTTGCATTGAGTAGAATTCTGGAATACGACCCTTAGTTAGCGTAGTTATTTTCTCAATAATTGTAGGCATTTTAAGATATTCGTGGATCTCATGTATTTTAGTGAACCATAGAGCTTTTGTTATAGAATGCTGTTTTGGTATCGTAGCAGAATTTCAAAGTTTGACTGTCTAGCAGTTCTCCAAAGCTCAATGCCGTAGGTTCAAATTGGTTTCAGAACTGCCTATTGCCTGTTGAATGATGATTTGTTAATCTCTTCTGTTTGCAATTATGTCTATGCACCTCGAACAATATGCTTATACCCGGTGTGTCGGTGCTTCGTGTGACTGTCTGCAGCTCGATGTCGAGACGCCTATTTTGCGTGTTTACTGTAATTACAGATTTTTTGAGTCTGTCTTGAAATCACACAAAGTAATTCTCGTTTACGTAGAACGAATTGTGAGCTGGGATCTCACTCTCATGTGAAGACTGCTGTCGCAAATGAGGCGCTTTGCTTCTGTCTATTGATCTGTTCTCACAATATAATATTTAGGTCTTATCAAGACGAGAAAGACTATGTAGATTATAAAGAATCTTGCAACCAAGTTTGAACCACATCATCACGTGAATAAGATTATCATTTATATTAAGATTTCTTAGGTTTTTCGCGAATGTTGCACATTGTAAATTAAATTATTTTTTTGGATCTAGATCGCGGGTATTTGTTTTTTTCAAACTGTTTTAAAATTCAATTTAAAAGGGGAGATTAATATTTTAAAACAATCGTGAAAAACTAAAACATGTTTTCATTTTTCGAAATTTTTACAAAACACCAACGACATTTACATGCTTCTAAATTTGGAGGTGGGTATCATATTCACCCTGGCCGGTAGTAGTGGTGCTTATATGTATAGGTTCATCTATCAGCTCCAATCAAAACACTGCAAGTCAAAATACAGTGTTACGTGATTCTCTACCAAGAATCTTACCGAATGTTGTAACAAAAACAAATTTATTTGTTGCTAGAAATAATTTGCCATAAATGAGCAGTAAATATAAAAGCGAGTAGAATGCTAAAATTGTAATGTGCTAAATAAGTTAAAATTATCTTATAATGTTGATAACTAGTGAAAGTCTGAAAAATAATTATATTAATTAATTACTTTTTATTGTAATTAATTAAAAAAAATAAAAAAGTAGTAAAATAATTTTATATAACACAAGTTGAAAACTAATGTTGCCTTGTATCAGTTCTTATTGCAGATTTGGTCTATTATATTTTGTATCATCACCAAATGCACCTGTTTATGTAATTTTAGTATTTCTGTTAAACTAACTTCTTTCTTTACAGAAAAATAGAACTGATTACCTCCTACTACCACTCAGATTCTGAATCAAATGATGAGACTGAGAGCCCACTCAAGTCTTCCACTCAACCTAAGCCACAAACCCAAGTGCCGAAGCAACCCTTCAAGAAACAGAAGACTAAACCAACTCCAATTGAATATGGGCCTCCGTTGCCTCCCAATCAAAGTTATACAGTGCCTATAGGTCCAGAATTGCCTCCTAATTCGCTCAGTGATAAGCCTAAGTCACCAGAAATGAAAATGGAGATTGTTCAAGATGACGTGAGTTTGCTTATTAATAAATTAATGCCTTTGTGCCTTTTCTATAATTCAAACACAGAACTTTGTATAATTAATTTGATTACCTTTTCCTTATTTATTACATCGAGTATATAACCATGTATTATTATTAAACAAAGACTACAGCTTATTTTGGGATTGTATATCTTTTCTAAAGGTTGCAGTATTTCAAGACATCTAACTATGTGTACAAAGTTAACACTGTTCTGTCTCAACAGTTTATTACACACTGTCAATAAGCACGTGCAAAACAAATATATTATAAACCATGTTTTAAACTATGGTCCGAATACATTGACTTACAATTATATGGACGTCGGGTCCGCGCTAAGAAGTGTCCGAACTTATAGGGCGTTAAAATCGTATACAGAGCGTCATTCACGCTTTAGTCTTCGTTTGTTCGACTGACAGCGAAGCACGCAAAATTAGACAGTACTGCGATGACATTACAATTTAAATTCAACGTTTTAGCTTTTTCATATTCCTTTACATGTCACTATGTTTAAATAGGTTGACTTGGGACATTTTTTTCGTGGTTTTTGTATTAGACCCGTCGTCCATTTATTTGTAAGTCAATGTCCGAATAGATAAAAATATTGCATATGAAACATGTGTAATTGGGTACATTATTTTTTAATTTTCTAACATTTACAACGTAGGAACAAAAGGTTAAAAATGTTTTAGTGATTTGTTTCTTTTTTCATCCTTACGAGGATGCAAATCTCAGTGCATCAGTGATGAGAAGCGCACCTGAATAATGCTTGAAGAATAGCAATCAATGTCGCTAGGTAGCAGTCCCTATATTTTTTTGATTCTTGATTATTTTGCATTTCAATTTTTTACATATTTTCATTTAACCACTTGCAATGAATGCCCCATAAATTCATTTCACGTGGTTTGTACTGGTCCTTCTCCAATACTTATGACATGTTTTGTTATATTTCTCAAGCAAAGTATGTCACAAGTTAGGGTAAGACCTAGGACTTGCCCAGCAATATTGAATTTGTTATCAACAAGCACTGTGATGGCTAAGTTTTCAATCTGAGGTGCAATATGAAGCCAACTGACACGTTCATTAGAATCTCGTCTGTACCGCATTTTTTAAATATATTTGTTTTTTTGACAGGTCAAGAATTCGCCAAAGGCACATGATAATGATGATAATAAAGACGAGTGCTCACTGTTACTGGAATTAAAAGATAAGGCTAAATTATTAGAAAAGCTAGGTGGAGAAATACCCTCTGACCTACAAAAATTAATTGAAAGTGAGAGTAAATCTGTAACTTCGTCGCCTAAACTTGATAATAAAGTCAAAGTGGACACACCAAACAATAGTCAAGGTGATAAGTCTACTAGTGGTACTAATACACCCATTACGTCAATGGACACTAATATCGACGATCTGTTAGAAGAAATAGAAAAAAAAGAACTTCCCAAAGCAAAGAAAGTAAAAATCGACATGTTTGGTGATGAAGAAATATGTAAGTCTAATGAAAGTAGTGCTAAGAATTCTCCAAGAAGTACTGATGACAAGACGCCGCCTAGGGAAGAAATTAAATCTTTGTTCCCTAGCAGTAAGGTCATAGTTGACGAAAAACCTATCAGTTTATTCCCTAGCGCAATAAATATTCAAGAAAACGGAATTGATAAAACAGACAAGACTCCACCACAAAATGCAACAGAGAAGAAAACAAATGTGTACTTAATGGATAGCAGTGAAGTTTTGGGTAACACTAGTCGAAAGAAATTGAGGATATCCAATTCAGTACTGCCAGTCAAAAAAGCTTCCGAGCTACCTTCGTACACCACAAAATATTCTACTCACATAGAAGGGTTTTCTACTGAGCGAATAGGGTTGGGGTTCAGTAAAGACGAAGACGACGACGAAAGTCCAAAGAATACGATCACTTACGGCAAAGGACTGACGTTCACCAAAGGCGAGATCCTGAACGAGGACAAAAAAGACGAAGCACTGGACGAGCTGACGGAGCTGGTGGAGGCCAAGTTGAAGTACCTGAACCAGCTGCAGCCGTGCACGGTCACTCCAGTGCAAGAAATGTTGATACAGATGCAGGTGAGTTGGAGCGCTCGTGGCCGCGTGCCAAGTGTGCGTACAGACTAGTCCAGAGCGGTGAATGCGCAGACGCTGGTGGGCGCGTTCCGGTTCGGCGCCCTGTCGGGCCAGTACTGGCGGCGCTGGGCCCTGGCGGCGGCGCGCGCCTTGTCGGCGCACGAGGCGGCCGCCGCGCCGCCCGGCTGGACCTGCGTCTTCCAGAGGTACTGCTTCCACTACACTTTGCCCGGACCCTAACCACGGACTCTAGTGAACCTAGGACCTTCAAATCCGCGCTTGTGTTCGTAGGCCGACGGGCGCGGGCCGAGGCCGAGGTCGCCGGTCGCGCCTCAAATTCATTTTTGCTTGGACAGTGAACAGTATTGTTTTCGTGGTCTGACTCGTTGCATTAATGATGACTTTGAATTACGGGATTTTCTCCCAATCAACGATGTTTTTGTGATCAGAGGTTGATTCAACTAAGCGTACAATTTTACCGACCTCATCTCCTACGCGGACTAAATGTCCGTACCGTACATCGACCGTGTTTACGTATGTGCTATTTCTTGTAATATTCTTTTGGTCGGTTTCATTCTGAAGAATGATGTAAAATCCAATTGCAGATATTCATAACAAATGCACTTCTATTTTTTGCTTCCACATAGGATAAGCAATAGGACAATATTAAAACAACTTTACATATAAAAATTAGCTTGTTAAAATAACATCAAACTTCGACATTCGAGAAAGTAAAAGTTCCTAGTCATAACGTTAACTTTACGTAAAATTTAAGGGCTTTTCAAGTACGTATTAGGTAAGTTAAAACTGTGATTCAAAAAGTCGTTGTCTTCTCTCAAACGCTATATAAATTTGTTTATTGTACATTTAAGTACTCCACACTGTTCTGTGATATAACTGTGATACTAGTTACATGTTTACAATAAAATAATCTACACAATAAAATTGAGTTTCCTTACTTCTCTGTTTATTTGAACCTTTGATAACATATTGTAGTTTACTAGCTAACATTGCTGAAATTTAAATTGTGTTAGCATTACCATTTAACTGTAAGAAGTGCATCAAGAAATAGTTGTCGAGAAGTTTCGAGATGAAGCATCAAGTCCGGAGCCGTGTTGTGAGAAGACTGCACGCCGAGAAATTTGGTGAGAGATCATGATTGTTAATTATTATTTTTTAATCTTCAAGGTTATATGCTTTGGTCTTTTCCAGGTGGTTACTTGTGGAGATGGGTACAAATGTAACTAGTTCCATAAGTAAAGGAAGAAGCAGTGAGCGGATTCCGAGAAAGTTTGTGTCTGCTAAGTTATTGCTATATATATAACAAATTTTGGCATACGTCGGTAAAGAAATGTGAATGTTTTAGGCAGTGCAGACACAAATCGACATATGGGTTTAGTATACTACAAATTCCTAATTCTTACTAGAAAGTTAAGATTTGCCTAGTGTCTTTATTTCGATCGGAACCTTGCCGTACACACATCATAATTGTTAACATTATTATCGAGAATTCTTGTAACGTCTCGCATAATTTTGAATTGGTTTTTTTTATAACATTTTTATTGCTAATAATGACTATATATAATAAGTATACATAATATACCACAGTTGCGATGAAATAATATTGTTCGCAATAAATAAAAACGGAAACATTCGCGTCTTACACACACACTTTCATCTTTAAAATGATGTTACGGGGCCTGGGGTTTCGATAAGCAAGTAAACTCACCGGGCGTCAATGCCGATATTCTACTTCAGTTGTTTTTACGATGGCTTTTGGTGGTGCAGGTCGGAGGGGCGCTACCAGTATGTACGAGCGGATGGGCTGGCGCAATGGGAGTACCCCGCGCCGCAAACCACCGACATGGACATCTGCACTACGCCGCCGCATCCTTCGCAAGATATTAAGGTTGTCACCCAGCTTTTTGTGTTTTTTTTGTTATATGGAAATAATCCTATATTCATTACCAGACCATCAAAATTTTTATTTTTCAAACGTAAGTGTCTGTTTATGCTTGGTTGGATAGATACTGTGAAATTTCAAGTTGTTGATGAAAATGTTGGCTTTAAATGTCAACCCTGGGGAACTCTCTTGTGTAAAACCGTCATTATGTACGAGTTTCATTCTGCGACATTTTGTTTTATTTTATTGAGTGAATTTATAACGAGCGATGATAATCCAGTATGTAACTTAGTTGTAATTCTAGCATATTCACTGGCATACTAGTGATCTACTCTATCAAATGCGTTTAATAAATCTCAAAATTCACCAAATCCTACATCCAAGAAAATAATCATATGTTGGAATGTTGAAATTATAGGACGAAGTACCTCTGAATCCTCCCCTTCCGGAGACACCCCCCGCCGCAGTTCCTCCTCCACCGCCGCCGCCCAGCGAGTGCTGGTCCCGAGCGCGCGTGGAGACGCCGCCGCCGCCCGCCTGGTCTGACCCTCCTCCGCCGGGCACGGACGACCCTCCGCCTTTGCCACCGGTAAGCAGCTTCGTACCGTCTTCGTGTAACCGAGTATTATTGTTAAGGACAGGGTGTCTATGAAATTGCCTAAGTAGAACTTCGGAAAGTGGGTTTTCTTCACTGTTCATTGAATTACCAGAGTTTCTCACAATGTAATACTTTTAGGAGCAACCAAAGCAAGAGATATCAGACGAGCTCCTGTCGTTCTACAACGACATTGCAGAGTTAGAGAAACAAACGGACCCAATAAAGCCGTGTACGCCCGAGCCGCCGCCGCCGCCGGTGCTCTCCGCGCCCTCGGAGCCTGCAGCGCCTGCAGCGCCTGCGGTAGTTGCAGTGCCTTCAGCGGCCACAATATCTGCAGCGCCTGCAGCGCCACAAGCCGAGAGGAAGGAGGGCAACACTGACAAAGAGAGAGATGGAAAAAGCAAGAAGAAGTCTAAGGTAAGTTTTTAGCAGTATTAAAACTTAGGTTTTCGCGTGTGTTACACATAGGAAATGAAACTATTTTTTCGTATCTAATCGCATATATTTGCTTTTTTCAAATAAATAAATTAGCTGGTTAATGACTCTACCATCTCAATCAGCCGTGACCATGGAACCTGTGAAGCGTCCGAAACGTTGGATTGTTTGAAAATACAAATGTACAAGATATAGACAATAAATAACGCATTATGGTAACCCTGTTTCGCGGGTGCCATGGACATACACATAGTATAATATCACAAATTGCGCCCAAACTCGAGAGAAATAAATGTAGACCATACATCACATCCCCGAAATCGAACCCGGGACCTCTGCGTACCTCCGCAGACCAACATAGTAACCGTTCGGCCACAAGAACTAAATAGAAAACCATGGATAATAATCGACGTTTAGATGCTCCCGCAGTCACCTGTCAAGCAGTGATGTGTAATTATTTATGCAAGCAGCTTTACTGCGTTCTGGTATCGAAGGTTACCCTTCCTGGTGCTGGTGAAATTTTGAGGCACATGGGACTTGTCATGTCTCAGGGTGACGGGCGCAGTGGCAGTGACCCTTAGATCTTTGCAATTAAAAGCTCCCGTTCCTTCCTCCCCTCCTTTCTCACCCGCGGGTTTGCGCTGGCCCTAAGTCATGTGTTAAAGCGCAGGCCACACCGCGAACGAAGCTAGCTAACTTAGTTCACGTAGTTGCATGCAAAGCTAAGCTAAGAAAATACATAATAAGTAGTGACTATGGCTACGTGCGGGGCTGAAGGGCGGCAGAAGGGCGACATAGCTATTCGGATCGTTGGGTTAGTTTAGTCAGATCCTTTAGCTTAGTTCGAGGTGTGAAAGTATGAAAAGACACCCCGGCCACGTGGGCTAAGTTAGATTAGCTTCGTTCGCGGTGCACAAAACACAAATTAAAAAGTTAAAATAGTACAGCGCCAACAACTCACCTGTGTGTGTCTCAGTATATTCGAAAAATATTCTGTACTTATTGTAATAAAGATAATATCTCTAACTATGGGGGACTGTTCCATTCGGTGGTGTGGGGAAAACAGCAAAACATCTAATTACAAAACATCGGTAATTAAATATGAAATTTTTCAATTTTCGTCCATTATAGCAAAGCTCAAGTTAAAGTGGTGTTTAGAACTGAAACAATGACGACACTCGTCAATTGTTTCGAATTCGGGCTAGCCAATCGGAGCGCAATTGTCATTGTAATATTTTGGCAGAATAATTATCCAACAAATAAAATGACTTTTCGTCTCTATTTCTGATTATATCTCGATGCTTATGAAGAACACCAACTATAGTATAAGTTGTGAATTATGGTTGTTTTTTCTTAAAGATGTTTTGTTGGCAGGTGAAAATATCATCCTCCATGGGAATCAAGCACAAATCCGTTTCGACGTTGGTTGCGAAATGGCAACAGGTCGCCGATGAAATTCATTCCGACTAAAATTAGTACAAATGAATAAAAAAATAAGTATATATTGATTAAAGTCAATTTCAAAAGAAATTAGTTTGCATGCCTTGAGGATGGTCGAAAAACAGGATGTTACCCTTTGGCTAAGTGTTTATAATTTGGTAGAAATATACCGTAGATTGTAGAGCGATCTCCAATTCTTATTCTGTTTCTACGATTATCACTAGGCGCTATTTACGGGCGTATATAAATTATGCCTTTTCATCGTCAAAACCAAGTTAAATATAAATGTTAGAACAACATTATAAATACATATAAGTTTATTATATCATATCCACAGAGTTCAAGATCGCATGAAATACAATATGAAACATATAAACATAAAAAAAGAAACTACCAGTATTCTATTACTGGTACTTCTTATATGATTATAAATTCAAAAACACTAATAATATAAGTAATCAGAACCAAATAGGAACGAAAATTAAAAGGGACCGCTCTGAACCGTACCCGGCTCAAACGTCCCCATCACACTAGCCGCATTACCGCGCTGGATGGCCAGTGAAATCTGCTGCACCAGGTAAGATCCAGAGCGTGGATCATAACCCCTTTCTCGGAGCCGGCGGCCCAACTCCCGCACAAATTCCTTGGCCTCAGCAGCCCAAGTCCCCGCAGTCTCCACTGCAATTGGCACAAAATCGTACATTGGTTCCAACGCGCTGTATTTTGTGTGTTTTAATTTTGCCGCATATTCCGCAGCATTATAAATAATGCAGTCGTTTGAAAGTACTTACTTCATATTTGTTTAATTTTGTTGCAATAAATACATTATTTATTTGTATTTTAAAGCATAATGTTATGTGTCTTTGTACATAATTATGTGTAAGTTTTGTAAGTTAAATAAATTGTTTAATGTTCTCGTGTGTGTTATTTACAATGGAAAAGGGTGTTCCAAATAATAGTAGATAAATGTCTATATATAGATACAAGATATAAAATTAGTCACCTAGGAAGCTGAAGTTGGATTTCAAAGTAATTCTAGTGGTGCCATATTAAAAAAAATTTAAGTAAACGTTTTTTTAATAAGCAATACCTTGTTTTAACTAGTGCGGCGGATATTGTGGATACATTAAAATTGTTCCGGTAATCTGGATAAAAAAAAATTAACATGTGCTGGTTTTAACCCCTCTGGTCACTCTATACATAGACATTTATCTACTCATTTGGAACACCCTATTCTGGCCATTGCTTATTTAAAATTACTACGTTCAATAGTGCATTTTTGGCATCAAGAAATAACGTTATGTACAAAATTAAAATGGATTTGAAATGTAAATGTTTGGTTCAGAAGCTACGACAGAACTTACAAAAATTTTACAGTTGGCGATTTCGAAAATGTCGATTTTCAATCTAAATTCAGAAATAATTTCCCGCTGCCAGTCGCAACGCCTTTTCGACAGTTGAATTCGACGATATTTTATTTTGTGCGTCCTCATTTTAGTATTCGGCCACGGTCCGACTCGGATAAGGGTGCCTTTGTCGCTGACATTCCAGATTACATTTGGGCATGGAGGTCGGTGAAATTAGTGGAGACAGTTTATGCACGATTTTATCTTTCCATTTTATTGAATTTTGGGTTGAAAAAAAAAAAGCAATGGAAGTCCTTAAGCCTCGATTACTATCAGAACCAATTCAACAAAACTCACACATTCTTATTTGAAACATTACAAAATCTTGATATTGATTGGTCGTACTTTCAAATTTAAATGGAAATAATAAATTCTGTTTCCGTGACTTAGTTGGTATAGCGTCTGGTATGCTAGAAGAAGCCGGTTCGAATCCAGCCGGAACGAAGGAATTTTTTCTGAGTGTTCGATCTTTGTATTAATAATTATAACAAACTAGTGGAGTAATTTCACAAAAAAAAAAAATTGAATATCAATTCAATAAATATTTAAAATTCTGGATTGTCAATATAATTTAAACTTTATATCCTGTGGGCATATCGTAGATAGTTCAATACATCATACGTATTATTACAAGTTATATTTTGATATTGTATTGAAATTTCAATCAAAGTGCTGCCATCTAGCATTTCATTGCTGAACGACGACGAATTGGAGTTATTAATTTAGTTCTTCAAACAAGAAGCGACCATATTGCAGGGGTATATGCTCTACTGTCGTTTTTTGTAACAAAAAAAATATTTTGATAAAAAGAAAATTGAAAATTTATTAGCTGCTATAATTTTTGCACTCCAAAACAGCACAATAAGGCATTTTTCTAGGATTTTAGAGAATTTGCACGAAGAATGACACAACCATACCACAGAAAGCGAACATGGCGGACTGAGCTCAGATAGGTCTTTCGAGACCTGTAGTTGGCGCGTGACGTACGCTAACTAACCACTTCTACTGCATTTATTGTTCTGTGGGGAGTACCCAACGCCGATGGCAAACATTACAGTTGTACGCCATCAATACGATAAGAAGAATTTTGCTCAAGAGTTTCACTTATGTAATTAGATTGAATTACAAATGCAAGTAACTTAGCTCGTATGCATTATGTATAACATATTACAAAATCCTCCAATAATTCTCTTCTTCTTTCCATCGTCAATGTTACTCATCGATTCTAATCCAATACCATAATAGCAACCAAGAATCGTATCCCGTCGGCCTATGGGCTGAAATAGGCCTTACCGACGACGTCATTCTGGCTCCATTTCACTCGAATTAGGAAACGTGATGGCTCCAGTAGTATTCAGCGATCGCACGCGCTCGTTCAGGCCAACGCGCCTTGTCTTAATAACAACTCGTTCACGAATGATTCTTAAAGTCTGTTTTGTGAATGGAATGAATGAGGTTGATTGCGTTTTTGTACCTACTCAATTAGGTAACTTTTTCTTTAATGGAAAGAAATAATTACTTTTACTTCTCTTTCAGGAACTGTTTTTATTATTTAGAATAACTTTTTTTTTCAATTCAATTCATTTATTCATTCGTTATTACAGGTACATGATATAGATGATAATAATAATTTTATGGAATCTCTGCAATAAGCCAAAGTGGCATACGAAGTCAATTAAATAAAAATGTAATGTCAAAATAAAAGAAAAATGTATACAATGTCAAAAAACTAATAATAATTAAAAAGTCAATAAAAAAATATGTAAAAATGTTAATAACTAAATGGTACCCAACTGTCAGCATTTACCTATTCTAAGAAACTATCATTGAAATATTCTTCTATGCTATAGTAACATTTGTCAATTAATAATTGTTTGCACACATGCTTGAATTGCATTCCACTAAGATTTTTTATTGCGTCTGGAATTTTATTAAATATTTTGGGTGCCATGTCAACAGCGCTATTTTTGTATAGGGCCGTTTTACATATATTTCTTCGGACCATATATTTCCTGGTACGAAATAAGTGCGCTTGTGAACTTACTTTTTCTGGGAATTCACTCAAGTTCGTCTTAACAAAAATAGATGCCTCAAAGATGTACAGACATGGGAAGGTTAATAATTTTAGGTCACGGAAAAATGATCGGCAACTGTCAGTGTATTTAATGTTGCATATGGCTCTGACACATCGCCTTTGGGCTCTAAATATAGTTTCTCTGTAGGTAGAGTTGCCCCAGAAAATAACACCATACTTAAGGATAGATCCAACAAAGCCGTGGTAAGCCATTACCACAGTTCGGCGGTCCGCAGTTTTCGACAATTTGTAGAGTGCATAGCTAAGCGTGTATAGTTTTTTTAGAGGAGATATTGACCTTGGTGGCCCAGCAACTTGGGAAACTGAACTTTTCTAAATTGAATCTAGTGTGGGTGTTCTGGGAAGTGCCGCAGCGTGAATTCAGTTGCTCTGGTGCTCAAAGTTAGAAACCAGGTAGTCGATGTGGCAGTCTCGCATATTATTATTATTATCACTATATATCAAAACTTATTATATACACTTGTATGTATGTATATTTTTGTCTAAAAACGCTAAATAACGCATAGTTTTATATACATAGGTTTGTACTGTAAGTAAATATATCTCATCACAATAGTGTGAAATGTGAAATGCAAATAAATAAATAGATCGTGTATGTAATGTCATGTGACAAGAAGAGTGCTAGGTATGAATGTGGAGGGATATAAGGGGAAATAAAAGCCCAAAGAAAAGATGGATGGATTGTGTGGAAGATGACATGGATAAAAAGGTGTGTATGGAATGACGGCTGATAGTTGAAGAAAAAATACATGTTGTACCGACACCACCTAGCGTGGGATAAGGACAGGAAGAAGAAGAATAGATCAATTAAGGTCGCAGTTATCAAGGACTGCAAAGGTCCTATAACTAATAATGATTATCTTAACCACCCAAAGTAATCTAAGTACCTAAATATTAATAACGTACCTCGCTTAGACCAAAGATCCAACTGCTAAGTTTAGTTCAATTTAAACCATTGGGTCCGTCCGTATTCAAAATCCGTATCCCTTGGGGCGAATACGTTTGTTTTTATTAGATTCTATTTAATGTTCTCGTGGGGGTTATTTGTTACATTCACACGTTACAATCCAAAAAATTTAAGTAGAGGGCACCGTAACGACCCAAGAAATAAATAAATATTAGATATCACATATGTCGCTCTGATCCCATGAAACCGGTGCACAAGCCACTAGACCACAAAGTTTAGATAAAATAAACTTTCGTTCTGCTATTATCAATAGATTAAAAGTTATAATTTCTTTGTACTTGTTTGGAAATCATCTGGTCTAGTCATCATAACCACTCTAGTTGTATAACTATTCCAATAAACCAAAATGTAATTTGGTATGGGAGTTATATGACCATGTCGCTAACATGCAATGGGTTATTTTTATGTTTATTCTTAGATGGCACCGTTTTTTATACCTTTTGGGGATTCTTCCTATTTTCTATTTGACGAAAAATAAAGTAGGTTCCACCAAAATTTACTAATGTCCTTAATTACATTCATATAACTATTACATCTTTGAAATTAACCTTACGTGGACTGAACAAACAGCATACCGGTTTAACTCGGACCATGCCCCATTAAACACTTTCTCTTACTTGTTGGGTTAGAAAACATCTAACTGCGGTTACGAGATTCAGTCCTATATTTTTTTAAACTAAAAATAGGATATTAATGAATTTCTGATAAAAAGTTCTTCTTTGTTGTGCCGAAAAGGGTTTCTAATGTGATTCACTGCACCATTGTGGAATGTAAATAAGAATTTTGAATGCTGTCCTGTTTAGCA